TTATTCATTTGAACAATTTTCTTTTTGTTTGTTTGAGCTCAATAAATCCTATGACTACGGTAAGACTTTAACCCTGTATATGCTACTGGCTGAATACCATCAACCTAGGTCCCATTGTTATTCAGAAGAAGCAATCTAGTGGTTTTAACAACATTGACCCCTGTGACCTTGATAAAAGATCAAGGTCATTCATTGTATCAAACTACATATTCCTTTATCCCAGCATGCTTTGTTATTGAGGGGAAGACATTTAAAAGTTTTAAAACATTTGACCCAAATGACCTTGATAGTAAGTCAAGGTCATTCATCTGAACAAACTTTACAGCTTCACAACCAAGCATGCTAATGGCCAAATATCACACTTGGTATCTTGTCATTAAGAGAAGCCGTTTAAATGTCTAAATGCATTTGACCTCTGTGACCTTGAAAGTGGGTCAAGGTGATTCATTTGAACAAACTCAACAATCCTTCAATCCAGCATTCTAATGGTTAAATATCATCATCCCAAATGTATCGGCTATTCAGGAGATGTTGGGCCAGATGACCTAAAAATCTGTTAAATAAGCACATTCAATCTATGGAAATACCCAGAAAGTCCAAAAAGAAAAGAAAAAATATATACAAAATATATTTTGTTCCTTAAAAAATAGTTCTATCTATTGATAATTCTTGCCTCCTTTTTTTTCTGTCAAGAAACCTGTCCTGTTTCCTAAGAATGAAAGGTATAGCAGTTTGTACATAATTCTTAGTAAAACCCTAAGCAGCTGAGATGATGGCGTTTGTGCACCGCAGGTGGCGTCTGAAAGTCTATAACATCTATATACCTGTATGTCACATGCTGGTTCAGTGCCCTACTTCCGACAAGTGTAATCTGGTGAAGTTCCAATCATGAAATACAAAACCACAGCGTCAAAATCTCCCTCGATTATTCCATCCGCAGAGCATCGCTATGGAAACACGTCCATAAAAGACTTTTATTTCAGAAAATTGCCAAAGACATCCCACGACATTATTTAAACAGCACATGCACTGAAGCTGGAGAGGCAAGAACTGGGCTACTGGTTACTGGTGTATCCATTGAGTATTTACAGTGCTGTGTGTGTGATTGAGTGTCTATAGGGATGTGTGTGTGACTGAGTATCTATAGTGCTATGTGTGTGATTGAGTATCTATAGGGCTGTGTGTGTGACTGAGTATCTATAGGGCTGTGTGTGTGACTGAGTATCTATAGGGATGTGTGTGTGACTGAGTATGTATAGTGCTATGTGTCTGATTGAGTATCTATAGGGCTGTGTGTGTGATTGAGTATCTATAGGGCTGTGTGTGTGACTGAGTATCTATAGGGATGTGTGTGTGACTGAGTATGTATAGTGCTATGTGTCTGATTGAGTATCTATAGGGCTGTGTGTGTGATTGAGTATCTATAGGGCTGTGTGTGTGATTGAGTATCTATAGTGCTGTGTGTGTGATTGAGTATCTATAGGGATGTGTGTGTGATTGAGTATCTATAGGGATGTGTGTGTGATTGAGTATCTATAGGGCTGTGTGTGTGATTGAGTATCTATAGGGCTGTGTGTGTGATTGAGTATCTATAGGGCTGTGTGTGTGATTGAGTATCTATAGGGCTGTGTGTGTGATTGAGTATCTATAGGGCTGTGTGTGTGACTGAGTATCTATAGGGCTGTGTGTGTGATTGAGTATTTATAGGGATGTGTGTGTGTGATTGAGTATCTTTAGAGCTGTGTGTTGGATTGAGTATCTATAGGGCTGTGTGTGTGATTGAGTATCTATAGGTCTGTGTGTGTTATTGAATATCTTTAGGGCTGTGTGTTTGATTGAGTATCTATAGGGATGTGTGTGTGACTGAGTATCTATAGGGCTGTGTGTGTGATTGAGTATCTATAGGGTTGTGTGTGTGATTGAGTATCTATGGGGTGTGTGTGTGATTGAGTATCTATAGGGGTGTGTGTGATTGAGTATCTATAGGGATGTATGTGTGACTGAGTATCTTTAGGGCTGTGTGTGTGACTGAGTATCTATAGGGATGTATGTGTGATTGAGTATCTATAGGGCTGTGTGTGATTGAGTATCTATAGGGATGTGGGTGTGATCGAGTATCTTTAGGGCTGTGTGTGGGATTGAGTATATATAGGGCTGTGTGTGTGATCGAGTTTCTATAGGGATGTGTGTGTGATTGAGTATCTTTAGAGCTGTGTGTTGGGTTGAGTATCTATAGGGCTGTGTGTGTGATTGAGTCTCTATAGGGATGTGTGTGTGACTGAGTATCTATAGGGTGTGTGTGTGATTGGGTATCTATAGGGCTGTGTGTGTGATTGAGTCTCTATAGGGATGTGTGTGTGACTGAGTATCTATAGGGTGTGTGTGTGATTGGGTATCTATAGGGCTGTGTGTGTGATTGGGTATCTATAGGGCTGTGTGTGTGATTGAGTCTCTATAGGGATGTGTGTGTGACTGAGTATCTAAAGGGCTGTGTGTGTGATTGAGTATCTATAGGTCTGTGTGTGTTATTGAATATCTTTAGGACTGTGTGTTTGATTGAGTATCTATAGGGATGTGTGTTTGACTGAGTATCTATAGGGCTGTGTGTGTAATTGAGTATCTATAGGGATGTGTGTATGACTGAGTATCTATAGGGCTGTGTGTGTTATCGAGTATCTATAGGGCTGTGTGTGTGATTGAGTATTTATAGGGATGTGTGTGTGATTGAGTATCTATAGGGTTGTGTGTGTGATTGAGTATCTATAGGGCTGTGTGTGATTGAGTATCTATAGGGATGTGTGTGTGATCGAGTATCTTTAGGGCTGTGTGTGTGATTGAGTATATATAGGGCTGTGTGTGTGATCGAGTATCTATAGGGATGTGTGTGTGATTGAGTATCTATAGGGATGTGTGTGTGATTGAGTATCTATAGGGCTGTGTGTGTGACTGAGTATCTATAGGGATGTGTGTGTGATTGAGTATCTATAGGGATGTGTGTGTGACTGAGTATCTATAGGGATGTGTGTGTGACTGAGTATCTATAGGGCTGTGTGTGTGATTGAGTATCTATAGGGATGTATGTGTGACTGAGTATCTTTAGGGCTGTGTGTGTGACTGAGTATCTATAGGGCTGTGTGTGTGATTCAGTATCTATAGGGATGTGTGTGTGACTGAGTATCTTTAGGGCTGTGTGTGTGATTGAGTATCTATAGGGCTGTGTGTGTAATTGAGTATCTATAGGGCTGTGTGTGTGATTGAGGATCGATAGGGCTGTATGTGTGATTGAGTATCTATAGGGCTGTGTGTGTGACTGATTATCTATAGGGATGTATGTGTGATTGAGTATCTATAGGTCTGTGTGTGATTGAGTATCTATAGGAATGTGTGTGTGATTGAGTATCTCTAGGGCTGTGTGTGTGATTGAGTATCTATAGGGATGTGTGTGTGACTGCGTATATATAGTGCTGTGTGTGTGATTGAGTATCTATAGGGATGTATGTGTGACTGAGTATCTTTAGGGCTGTGTGTGTGATTGAGTATATATAGGGCTGTGTGTGTGATCGAGTATCTATAGGGATGTGTGTGTGATTGAGTATCTATAGGGCTGTGAGTGTGACTGAGTATCTTTAGGGCTGTGTGTGTGATTGAGTATATATAGGGCTGTGTGTGTGATCGAGTATCTATAGGGATGTGTGTGTGATTGAGTATATATAGGGATGTGTGTGTGACTGAGTATCTATAGGGCTGTGTCTGTGATTCAGTATCTATAGGGATGTGTGTGTGATTGAGTATCTATAGGGATGTGTGTGTGACTGAGAATATATAGTGCTGTGTGTGTGATTCAGTATCTATAGGGATGTGTGTGTGATTGAGTATATATAGGGATGTGTGTGTGACTGAGTATCTATAGTGCTGTGTGTGTGATTCAGTATCTATAGGAATGTGTGTGTGATTGAGTATCTCTAGGGCTGTGTGTGTGATTGAGTATCTATAGGGCTCTGTGTGTGATTGAGTATCTATAGGGGTGTGTGTGATTGAGTATCTATAGGAATGTGTGTGTGATTGAGAATCTATAGGGCTGTGTGTGTGATTGAGTATCTATAGGGCTGGATGTGTGATTGAGTATCTATAGGGCTGTGTGTGAGATTGAGTATCTATAGGGATGTGGGTGTGACTGAGTATCTATAGGGCTGTGTGTGTGATTCAGTATCTATAGGGATGTGTGTGTGATTGAGTATTAGGGATGTGTGTGTGATTGAGTATCTATAGGGATGTGTGTGTGATTGAGTATATATAGGGATGTGTGTGTGACTGAGTATCTATAGGGATGTGCGTGTGACTGAGTATCTATAGGGATGTGTGTGTGATTGAGTATATATAGGGATGTGTGTGTGACTGAGTATCTATAGTGCTGTGTGTGTGATTCAGTATCTATAGGGCTGTGTGTGTGACTGAGTATCTTTAGGGCTGTGTGTGTGATTGAGTATCTCTAGGGCTGTGTGTGTGATTGAGTATCTATAGGGCTCTGTGTGTGATTGAGTATCTATAGGGTTGTGTGGGTGACTGAGTATCTATAGGGATGTATGTGTGATTGAGTATCTATAGGGCTGTGTGTGATTGAGTATCTATAGGAATGTGTGTGTGATTGAGTATCTATAGGGCTGTGTGTGTGATTGAGTATCTATAGTGCTGTGTGTGTGACTGAGTATCTATAGGAATGTATGTGTGATTGAGTATCTATAGGGCTGTATGTGTGATTGAGTATCTATAGGGATATGATTATGAGTATGATTTTTTCTCTCTCTTAAGGATGAGGTCCCTTTGCAAAGACATATATTTTCTGAAGCAGCATTTCTCTTTACAATGTTAAATTATCAAACATATTGGGCTATATAAAACTCGGATTATTAGTGCATCTACTCTGAATAGCCCAATATGTGAAGATTACCTGAAAAATGAATCCAATCTTTCTACCTACAGATTGCAGTGTTTTGACTCACCTCTGATGTTGAGGGTGTTACCTCCGAGCAAAAAAGATTCACAGTCCAGGGGTAGGGGTGTCTTGGAGGCCGCCACAAACACGTTGATTCCATTAATATCACGACCTCGTCTCTCCAGAATCGGGGTCAAGGCTAACCTAAAATTTGACAAAATTTGAAAATCAAAACAACAACATACAGACATTATGCTTCATTCTGTACACAGGAAAAGGGCCATTTGACTTATGGAGGTACATTACAGATAAAGGTCAATGGTCATTACCACACAGCAAATCTGTCATAATTAAATATGGACCATAATTGGATACCCTATAGATCTACTCCTGTGGTTTTTAGCCAATCAGATAACTTTACCAGTGTTAAGCCAATCAGCTAAGAACTTAAGAATCCCTGTCACAATGCACTGTGGTTTTTACCATATATAGTTACCTCCCCTTAACTTTGTTTGGATATAACTGTAGCACATGTACAGTTTGGCCAGACCACTTTCGTTGACAAAAAAGATAAATTGGTTAGAGCAATTGTATAACAATGTGTGAAGTCCAGGGTTTGAATTCCAGTCTCACCCCAATTTAATTTTTACACTCAGGACTGACTGTTGCTGATTTAGTTAATCTTTATTATTTCTCATAAAAGTAGCGCGAGGTATGATTTTCTTTTCAGAGATATTTTATCAAATCTATAGTCATGCTGGAAAAATATATGTCAATGCATAGTTAGAGTTTTGGGTGGTATGTGGATCCTTAAGGGACCAAAGATCATTCAGCAACAGAGGTTAAATTTGTCATCAACGACAACAAAGTTTATTTGTTTTCTTCAGCAAAATTGTCTTTGATACAGCAGTCAATATAACAGTCATAACATGCTACCATTAAGCCTGCATTGTATGATGAAAACCCCCAAATGAGGGTTTTTCACCCCTAAAACAGTTTGTTGTACCCCCTGTTTCCAAGTGTTGCCTTATGTTACTAAGTACCTAGGGGTGCAGAATCTTGAAAATGTATCAAATATAACCTCAAGTCTATAATTCAGCGGGAACACTGATGAGTCGGGTCAAAAACTGGTTGTGTAGAGTTCTTGCCTGCCACCTAATCTTTCTACGAGTTCTATCCTAGAGCAGTTTTATGATTCAGTTTTCATTCCTTTTGACATGCCAACTACCTATAATATCATCTTTACGGCACTGATCACTGCTTAACCCAACAATCTTTCCTAATTATAGCTGTCACTAACCATAAGCATCATGAAAATAAACTTAACTCTTTATTTTATACAGTCTGTAATTATCTTGTAATGCTAACTCTCATTAACTATGCCTTAATAGATCATTTAACAATGACAAGTCCATTTCCAATCTCAGATTTTACAGCATGAGGCCCATCGGGTATCATACGCTTGTTATTTAATGCAGATAACGTATGCATCTCACATTGTTTACATTCAGAGTCAGTCTACATCAAATCAGGTGGTCGGGTGGCGCAGTGGATACCGCACTTGCCTTTCACAAAGGCCGCCAGGTTCGATTCCCCCGATTGGATGTAAAATGGTATGGGGGTCGCCTGCCCGACCAGGTGTGATTTCTCCGGGTACTCCGGTTTCCTCCCACATTAAGAGCCCCATGTGCTAACATCCGGGCCAACAAGAGTGATTTATATAATTTGATATAACTTGTTTCATAATTGTTGTAAAATAAAGTTTATATTTTATTTTACATCAAATTTACACAAACTGGATTGCAAGCAATGTACCGCTATTACTTTGAACCAAATGAAGCTTCATTTGAAGAATTCCACTTGTTTAACTCATATTATTTCAAAGGAAATCAAGGTAATTCCTCTGAACAATCTGGATTTCCCTTCACCCCAGCACGCTGTACACCAAATGTGAAGTCTTTCAGTTATTCCAGAATATTCTTATTGTTTAAAAATGTTAACACATTTGACCCATATGGCTTTAAAAGTATGTCAAGGTCATGCACTGGAACAAATATGACAGGCCGAATATCATGACCTTAGGCTTCTGTGTTTGCAGAAGAATAAAGATTTATAATACATTTACACCTGTGATGTTGAAAAAAGTTGAGGTCATTCGTTTGAGCAAAATAAATACCAGTTCCTACTTGCATGCTACGAGCCAAAATCATGACTTTAGGCCTCATAATTATTCATCAGAAGTTGATGAAAATTTTGAATACATTGAATCTCTATTTATAGAAAGTGTGACATTGACTTTGAACTGGAGTGTCATCAACCAACTTACCTCAGACTGATGCCTTTTATGGCAGCCACAATCTCCATGTCCTTGTTTTTCTTGCCGAAAGTCACAGTAAAGTACTCTTCATTGACGACGCTCTGTAGAAAACAAGGCAATACATTTATATAGACATGTTCAAATGTTTCTGTAAATTCAGTATAGTTATCACTGTGTATGAAAGAATTCATAAACTTTTAAGTTAACAATCCCAATTTGTAATCAAAGTATCATTTATTCTCACAAACTCAGGTATCGAAGCAACAAGACCTATAACAGATTTGGAGAACTAAAAAAAAGTTCAACACCAACACAAATTGTTTTTAAAACAATATAACAGAAAATGCAAATAAATGCATCTTGCTCATACAGAAAGAAAGTCTTTAACTGGAGAAAGAATGGGTACATGGTGTACATTTCAACAGATTCAAATTAAATTGTCATCTGATGCAAACAATAAGAATTTGTGTTCAGATCATCTATATTTAGGTTTACAAATCTGTCAAGGATAAAGAGAAAGACAGCCAAAATAATGTATTCATACTATAACAAATATATAGCATGACTGGAGTTCATTTCAGAATAAAAATTAGGACTTTTTACTACTTAAATGAACAAGTTCAAATTTTGAAATTGAAATAGGAAAAGAATGGTGATAAATAAAAAAAAGTTAAAAAGAATTGCTTTAAAAATCTTTTCCTGGTAAAATGAATTCAGCATAATACTATGATAAAATAAAATAGCAGAATTCTGTTTGGTAAATTTAATGTAACAACCACTTTCTACTACAACTACTGAACACTACATAAGCATGGAAGGGAGGTAACTCTAAACAAATAAAGCAACATACACAAAATATACTACTGCATTGAACCTACAATGAAGAAAACGATTCATAAAATGCATTCAGTGAATTTTAATCATGAAATGAAATTATCATGGCCCTGTTACTAATTGTAAACCGATCAAGATTTCCCCATTTAATTCTCTATACAGGCCGTATCAGAATAAATAGCACCCGTCATACAGGTAAATAACCGTATCAGAATAAATAGCACCCGTCATACAGGTAAATAACCGTATCAGAATAAATAGCACCCGTCATACAGGTAAATAACCGTATCAGAATAAATAGCACCCGTCATACAGGTAAATAACCGTATCAGAATAAATAGCACCCGTCATACAGGTAAATAACCGTATCAGAATAAATAGCACCCGTCATACAGGTAAATAACCGTATCAGAATAAATAGCACCCGTCATACAGGTAAATAACCGTATCAGAATAAATAGCACCCGTCATACAGGTAAATAACCGTATCAGAATAAATAGCACCCGTCATACAGGTAAATAACCGTATCAGAATAAATAGCACCCGTCATACAGGTAAATAACAAGTGAAAGTCGCACCTTCGTTGAGAACATTTTCTTTAAACATTCTACCTCATACTTTGACAATTTTCCTGCCAGAGCAGACACAAAGGTCTCTTTATCCCATTCCCAATTTGAAATCTCCTTCAACCCTTTCACCACTGTAGACCACAATGGACTCATCCAGATCTATGAATGGTAGAGTCTACTAAAGTTACATAGGGGTGAACATTTTGCAATGGTCACTGCATCAGTTTAAAATAAAAGTTATGTTCCCTGGCTACTCAGTGAACTTGTTGCATCACTAACAAAACCAATTTGACAACTTTAAGTACATGTAATTATAAAATCTAGCTCTCGAAAATCTGGAATGAGAAATATCTGGGGCAGACAAATAAAGCATTTGACATATATTTTCAAAAATCCCTTTCAGAGTTTTATTTTACAAATATTAGAATAGGTATCATCATTTCATCAAATACAGTATAATATTAACCAATTTTTAATTCACAACAAGGAAAATATGATGACAATGTTTTGAAACACCAATGTTCAATGAGAAACCATCTTGGTTACGAATACGAGCTGTTTGTTTATCTGTGATTTTTTTCATAACTCTTACAATTTCAACAAAGATGGTATATCATTGATCTATAAATACATCAAGTCTTTCTATTTTAAAGGGAGAACCTTGTTTTGTGCCCTTTTTCTTAAATTTTAACATCAGCAGAATTCCCAACTTATCTTGTTTTTTCTCCACGAAAAGTGAAGGCGACCTCCTCAAGGTAAAAATGTTTAAACGGTTTTTATTTCTTTTCACATAAATGAATGTGAAAATAAGAAAATGTGAAGGGCCAAATAAACACTGTATGAAAATTGATTTTATGGGCGAAGGGCAAAAGTTTGACTGGATGAAATTTGAAAGGTTGCTAAGTCTGTTAAACATATGTGTGCCTGTAAAATAAAGACATGTCTGACATATAGACGTGAAATACAAGATGAAATTGAGGAGTACATGTTCACGAATTGTATACTTGTAATAGTGACTGTTTAGGAGTTATACAATACAAGGTTAAGTATTAATGGAGTACTTGTTCAATGTTTATATAAAACATGTAGTAACTGATTATAAAATTAAAGGTTTACGAGTATTAATTTGTCAGAATTACACATACATTGTATTATTACATAAAGTAGGTCTTAATAAGCAAAACATAATTGACATGGCTTTTGAATAAAACCTGTACTTCACAAAGGGAGACAATCTACAAGGCAATTAACCGTCACCGGTGAAAGTACTACGTTTTGGCTAGCTGGCAGGACGATACGTAAGTGCAAGCTAATTGGGTTTTAACTACAATGGTGTTTTGGGACAAAACATTACTATGTACACTTATACTGGTAACTATGACAACCACCATAAATATGGTTACTATGGTTACTACAACACTCCCAGGGGTTAGCACCTTGGATGAAGTTTGCCGGTTGAAAGTCACTTGACTTCCTGTCTGAAGCTCTTCTGATTTGCGCCGGGAATGTTTAATTTTAATGTCATTATTATCTTGACATTGACCTTGACCTTGGTCACTGTCCTCCGATTCATCTGAGTCAACTGACGCGGTACTGACGTGTTGGCCATCCTAAAGTCCAGAAAGGTATACACCATTATCTTAAGTCCTAGGTTCCAATAATTTCACTATTTTTTTAAAACCATTAAAATTGGTGATACTGCAAGAATTGTTTTAAACAGTTCAGAAAATCAAATCTGACTTTGAGTTAAGAATAAAAATTAGTTTAAGGCTCATAAGAAACACCAACCCGACAGGTCAGGACAGAAATGTTATATAAGCCACTATGATTCTATCAACTGTCAGAGTATGGCACCTTTTCCATCTAAAGGGAGACAACCAATGTAACTGCTTGGGGAAACAATAATAATAATATTAATTCGAGGTTATTATATACCGCTTTATCACAACCTAGTTTGTAGGTCGTCTCAAAGCGGTTCACAAGTTATTATCCGTGGTTATAGGGCCTTTGCAACCAGACAATTCCTTTCTCAACTCCCTGGGGAACATACAGCCAGAGCTTCCATTTTGGCGCTAACAGCTAGCATTCAAAAATTCCAGCACTGCCCAACCACATACTCATTTACAGCTGTGTAGACTTGAACAAGCGGAGTAAAATATCTTGCTCAAAGATACAACACAGTACCGTGCCGTGACTCGAACACGCAACCCTTCGGTCACGAGCCCAGCGTCCTACCACTAGACTAACGTGCCTCCTCGTGAAACAATGCAAACAGCTACAGAGGGAAAATGTTACTTTATTTAATCTATGCTCACAGTACTAATGTTTTACTAGTTTCAAAGACTATAAACAAAGGAAATAATTGTTAAATTTCTAATCCTATTTCATTTTAATCAGAGGCATTAAAAAAAAATACAAGCAAATCTAATAGAAACTATATTAGAACAATCATTAATATTTAAAATACTACTTAGTTTAAATTTGCAGGAGTCATCAGCTACTTAACAGATGTACAAGAGAACTTACGTTTTAACAAAAGTTTTCAGGAGATGTTAATAAAGGAATGTAAATAAAGGAATATTAATTTTAAATTTAGATTTCAATTAAAATTTCTTGAATTTTCCCATTTTGATCGAGAAAAAAATGAGAAGATTATTGGATATTTCATTTACAATTTCTAAAAAAGCTGTTAATTAAATTTGACAGGATTAACTGCAATATTAATAAATATTACTACCAATAACAGTTAACTACCGGGAAAACTGCCACTTATACGCCCCCTTCCCAATAAACACGCCATTCAGTTTGATATGTCTCGCCTATGCCCCGCTATGAACATCGATACACATATCAGAGAAACTAACTTAAACACAAAACTTGATGTTGATGGAGATGCTGACAAAGTCATCAATGGACCATGGAAGATAGGCCACATCCAGAATTTGATGTATGGGTTGAGATGTACTACCTAAGATGGGGTTGAGATGTACTACCTAAGATGGGGTTGAGATGTACTACC